TTTATGCATGCGGCTGCGTTTACACGCTTTGATTCGAATATCTCTTCGTGTGGGTAACAAAAGGGAAAAAAAAGACTGCTTGTCTGCTTGCTATTCCACACAACTGCGCACGTAGAAACGTGGATACATAATATCTGTCATAAAATAGAATGGTCTCTGATAAGTTTTCATACCCCATTACCTCGAGCAAAAAATGTATTAAAAAAGATGACAAAAAATCAATAACACTCAAGTCATTGAAATACAATATAGATAACGAAAACCAATATTGTTGCTAGTGTTCTGTTTTTGGTTGCATGCTGAAGAAAAGGGGTAAATGGGGGACGCTATTCATGTTTAAGTGTATGTAAATGAAGAGAAAAGAATGGAGCATAATAACAAAGAGAAGGAAATGGAAAGGCAGAATAGAAGAAGGAATTGATAAGAAAATAACAAGGGATGAAGAATTTTGAAAAGTAAAAGAGAAATAGAGTGTAGGAATTCGAGAGATGAAAGGAAATAATAGGAAAGAAGCGGTATGTTAGGGGGGTATAGACGGGGGGGAGGAGGAGGAGGAGGAGGAAAGAAGGAAGGGATAGGAGGAAGAGGAGGAGATGCTCCCCCGCCTGGGAAGTTTCAACCTCATGGTCGTCCAAACTTTTATCAGTCGACGCGAGGGGCTGCGTTGGAAGTGGTCACGTGATCTGCTGCTTGCTTTGCTTGCCTGATTCTGCCTTCTCATACTATCCTTGGACAAGAGATTGAGGGTGAGTAGGAAGAAAGCGATAATGGGTAAGTCCAGGAATACAAAAAAAAAAAAAAAAAAAAAAAAAAACGAAGCGATTGAGAGCACGTAGATTGAGAAAATGAAACTAGAAGAAAAGAAACAGAAAAAGGAAAGGGGAGGAAAAGAAGGGAGATAAAAAAATAAAAGAGAGACGAAGGAAGATACGAAAAGGAAAATGAGACAGGAAGAAGGATGACGAAGAGAAACAAAAATGCAAAGAGACGGAGCGAGAGAGAGAATGAGTGGGAGGAACGAAATAAGAGACAAGGGGGAAACAGGGACGGAGAGAAAGTTGGTATTGTTCACCTGTTCAGCAAAAGTTATAATACTTAAATGTGGCACAGATGACAATGGTAAAATTTGTTGCGGGCACAGTGTCGGAGAAAGTATTTTCCTCGATAGGTGCAATACATTCTTGACGTGGAGATATATACCATATTAAGATATCAATTACAGTGTTTCATTATATCTAATGTTTAATCAAAAACAGACTCCTGATAACTGAGCTACTACGTTCGATTAGGAAGTCTCGATAGGAGCGACAGTCGTCATGAGGGCTTCAACACGTCAAAAGAGACGTCTAAAAAGCCTGTAGATAATGCCATCGACTCCTTCCATTGTGCTTTAACGCTGCTCTAATTGTGAACCGAAGATAAGACGGCAACGTAGCGTGAATGAGAGTGTGTTCCCCTGGAACTTCACCCAAGAGTAGTGATAGAGGTGCGCGCGTCATGCGTATTCAGGGGCCCCGCTACTACACCGATGACCAGAGTTTTGGGTTGGCCCCGTGAGGAGCTGCTCCACGTCCCTTCGGCCGAGGTTTTCTCCGTGTATCATTGAATTAACCGACTTTTCTAAATCGACAGTTAGCTCATTGGTAAGAAGTTGTTTCGCTGATATCCTGACTAACTGTTTTTAACAGTTAGATATTCCGAAAGGTGTTTGTTAAGTCAAATTTATAGTAAGATGTAGAGTGTTATTCGTTTCAAGGTTTCTGATAGTTAAGCATGACGATGCACGTTTACAAAGTGTATTTTGGTGGGTAATTATTTTTTGCTTTTCATTTGCAGATCATATTCGGAAAAATGGAAGGCCCAGTTATTGAAGAACTTCCTGTTATGAGGAGTTTGTCTCCATCGACCGTGTTCGGGGAACCTATAGAGATCGACTTCAGTCAAACGCTAATACAAGACCCATCGAAAGTTGTCCAAATTACTCCTAGCCAAATGTCCGTTTCTTCCCCGGAAAAGTCAAGGAAAAGGAAGAAACAGTCGAAAAAAGTAAGTAATCATATTTGAATATTTATGTATCTTCTTTTAAGTTGACATTTGCAGAGTACAGACACCAATTTTGTATAGTCGCGTAATTTAAACAAGCGCGAACTCCCCACCACATCGCCAACAATGACGTCATCGTACTCCAGCCAATCGTAACGACCGGATGATTGCGTCATAATACTTCGGCCAATCACGACAACCCGAAGGAAACGTCATCACAGTCCAGCCAATCACAGTCCGCTCTGGGGTTGTGTGTTGTGTATCGTTCAACCTTGCTGATTCACAAGGAGGTGGCGTGGATATTCTTAAGATTTTAGTGATATTTTGCGGCTTGTGGACCTTGCAAATTGCTCATTGGATACAGCACGAGTGATGAATAAGTGCAGATCTTGAAAATCATAATACAGAATCGTAAAAGAGGCCTGAAATTCCATACCAGTGAAATGTCAAGAGACCGGTGTGTGTTGTCATGCAGTGTTTTGTTTGTGTGGCGGTCTTGTGAACAACGTTAATTCATGTATTTGCGAAAAGTGTGAATCTCTCGGTACACCAAAGGAGAAAAGGGAAGCCACGACATTTGTGAGACCCAGAAATGCTTGAGAAACCATGTGAAGGTCTAGAATGTTCCATGTTTACCATAAGACTCCGTTTTCTATGAGATGTGTTTTAGAAAAAAGCAGGAAAAATAATGCCATATATATATGATATGGTCATTTTACTTCTCTAGGAATATCACAGTGTGCAATAATTAAGATATGTGTGATTAAGTATGTCGTTTATCCCGCCTGAAAGGGATACATTTAATGAAGTGAAGTGCGGAAAAAAAGAAGAAACGTTTATGGTGATTTATTGAAATGTATATTTTGAAGTGTTTTCTCTTGTGAGAATCCTCATAGTAGTGCCTACAGCTTCTCTTCTTGCAAGCAAATAAAAAAATCTCATTAGGAATCCCCATGAGAAGTGGGGAAACCTTAGTTCGCGAGACCCCCATAAGGTCACCACTATATCCAGAAATAGACTGATTGGATTACTGTTTTTGTTACATATTGAGTATTATGCAATATCGGAAGGTATTATTCACAGTGGAATTTGAGTGTTCTTCTGTACACTTATCTGTGCCTTGGTTGCTTCCGTGTGTGTGGGGAGTGCGTGTGACTACGCTGGCTGTGAACGTTTCGATCTGGAAATGAACGTGATGTGGCTCGTGGACAAAGAGTGCTCGTCCTCAAGTGTGCCGCCCTTGGCACTCGCATTAATAGCTCGGCAAAAGCACGATAAACCGGACGCTGTTATGAATTACTAATACTTTTTTGTATCTCGAGTCGGATTTTGTTGCCAGTCTTGGTCGTATTTCATGATCTATTGGATCGATTTGCCAGCTGTCAGTTATACCGCATTAGGTACACCGTTACTTATCAGCGATATCTAATCGTTACCTGGGACAGGGAGATCAATGTCCGATGCCCGTCACAAGGACAGTTTAGATAAAAAGCTTAGTCTTAGTCTATGATATATTGCATACAGCTTTAAGTAATCGTATGCTTGATGTTTATTTACGAACGAAAATAAATAAAAGACACAATACACAGATATCAACTTACACAGATATGCTCATACACACATCCACATACACACACATACACAAACAAACATGTGCACACACATACACACATATGCACACACACACACACACATATGCACACACACATATGCACACACACATATGCACACACACATATGCACACACACATATGCACACACACATACACACATATGCACACACACATACACACATATGCACACACACATACACACATATGCACACACACATATGCACATACACATGCACACATATGCACACACACATGCACACATATGCACACACACATATGCACACACATACACACGTATGCACACACATACACATATACACACACATACACACATATGCACACACATACACACATATGCACACACACACACATATGCACACATACACATATGCACACATACACACACACATATGCACACACACACATATGCACACACACACATACACACATATGCACACACACACATACACACATTTGCACACACACATACACACATATGCACACACATACACACATATGCACACACATATGCACACACACATACACACATATGCACACACACATATGCACATACACACACATATGCACATACACACACATATGCACATACACACACATATGCACATATACACACACATGCACATATACACACACATGCACATATACACACACATGCACATATACACACACATGCACATATACACACACATGCACATATACACACACATGCACATATACACACACATGCACATATACACACACATGCACATATACACACACATGCACATATACACACACATGCACATATACACACACACACACACACACACACACACACACACACACACACACACACACACACACACACACACACACACACACACACACACATTATATTGTATGTTATATATATATGTATATACTTACATATTACTTATATGAGTGAATGAGAGTGTACCATGTAAATGAATATATGTAAAAGTGTGCTTGTAAATATAGTGTGTGAATTTAGTCTTCCGTTTCCTTTGTCCGAGAGGAATGTGACGTTTGCTTTAAAACCGGCGAGCCTGACGTGAGCACCTGTTAGCGTGCTCGGTTCATTAGATTCAAATGAACGCGCGCGTGGACGTCTCCGGGCGAGGGCTATAACTTATTCGTCAGTAGTAGCGTGAATTAGGTCCTCTTACAGTATTGACGTGACCTAATTCAATGTCTTTTTTTTTATTTCTGATCAGAAGGAGCTTACTTTTTGCCATATGTTTTTAGCTTTTATTGGCGTAGCAATCTTCCCTTCCACGGTTCCTTCAGTGCCAGCCCCTCTCAATCCTTTTTGTTTTTGTTTTT